AATATATATTGGCAAAGCCCTCTTTCCATAAGTAATATTTAAATTTATTTACGTGTTTATTATTATATATCAATCTTTTTACAGTAGATTTCTTAATTCATTAACCTAATCCAATAATAATACATAAATTTTTAATAATATAATATCTAAAAAATATTTCAGAGGATACGGTTCTGATTTAAATAATATAAATAAAATCCTTAAATTTTTTCATTTAAGTCAGAAGTTAGAATGAGAAGGGAGAACATCTTTTTTTTGTTAATACTAAGTGAAATTCTTTATTAAAGTAATTCGAAAAATATTTATAGCATATTGTTGTCCAACCTCCTGTTAGGAATGTAATGGGTCTAGCTAAAATTGCAATACTTGTAAACCAGGCTTCTTTAAGAGTGGTAATGACTGTTATGCATGTACAAAACCATGTGCAACCTGTTCAACAAATGCTACAACTTGTTCTACATGTGTTGATACTGCAAATTAATTAACTCCAACTTGTGCATGCAATAGTGGTCTTGTAATGAATACATCAACATATTTTTGTGAAAGTTGTTCGAGTAATTGTTAAGTTTATAGTTCTCCCACTATTTGTACTTAGTGTAATGATGGTTATTGGCTAAATGGCAACTAGTGTAGTCCATGCATAAAACCATGCGCCAATTGTTCATTGAGTGGTAGTAATTGTAGTACTTGTGTTGATACTGCAAATCAAACACCATCCTCATGCAATTGTCCATCTAATTATATAATAAATACTTCTAATTACTTTTGTCTTTAATGTTAATTTCCGTGTGCTACCTGCTAAACAACAGTAAGTTATTGTTTAACATGTGCAACAACATATACTATAGATTCAAGTACTCATACATGTTCATGCCAAAATAATCAATATGAGGTAAATAGTACACCTAAAACATGTCAAAATTGTTCAAGTTTATGTTAGACTTGTAAAGTATCTGCAAATAATTGTGGTTCTTGTGTGGAAGGATTGCATAGATATCTAGATAATAACTAATGTATTTGTCGATAAGGTTATTTTCAAATCTACACTCAATGTTTTAAGTGCTCTCCAAAATGTTTCACTTGTATAGAATAACGCAATAAATGTTTAATATGTTCTGATCCAAATCATTAATTAATTTTAAATTATTGCATTTGTAAAGTAGGTTATTATGAAGATAGTTCTATGAAATGTTCATAATGTTAATTTCCATGTGCAACTTGTATTGATAATTAAGATTATTGTACATCTTGTATTTATTAAGATTATCAATCTCTTATAGAAGGTTAATGTATTTGTAATGATGGATACTAATTGTATTAATTGTTTTAATGAATTTTACTATCATAATTAATAATGTATTCCATGTTCTTAATTATGTTTAACATGTGAAAATTATTCAAATTATTGTCCTTTAATTATTAATGATTTGTCAAATTTAGTATTTTTGAATTATACCAAATAAAGATGTGGAAAAAATCAAGTATTAATTGATAATATATGCATTAATTAATGTGGAGATGGAATCTTAACTAATGAATATGAAGAATGTGACGATGGAAATGATACAGGAGGAGATGGATGTTCGAATTATTGTTTAATTGAAGATGATTATTAATGCACAAATCAATAGGGATCCTTAAGTTTATGTACATTTATACAGGCTCCTGGTTTTAATTTAAATGTTCTTACTGATAATAGTTAATCAATTCAAATTGTTGAATTAACTTTTACTTAATAAATTTAATTAAAAGAAATTGTAGATTTGGATTAAATTATCATATTTACTATTACTCCTTAAACCTAATATAAAATAACTATCAAATATATATCGAATCTAACAATTACATTAAATAATCCGTAATTTTTAATTTTTATTGAATTTATTTAACCTATTTTGGACCCTACTTTATTGGTTGATATTGATAAATCTTTTATACATAATGCCTTTAAAATAAGTTTATTATGTAATTAAAAAACAGTTAATCTTGGAACTCCTTTTGTTTTATCAGAAACATCTTAATAACAATTAACTTCTATTGTTTAATTAAACGATATAATGATATACTCTATGACTAGTGTATCTTGTTTGGCTTTTTTAACAGGAAATCCTATTATGTTTTTTAATTTGTTAGATTTATTGTAGTCTTTATCTTATTTAAGATTCATGTATACCTAATTTCCACCTCATTTAATAGTTTTCTTAAATACTTATACCAAAGTTTCATTGCAACCAATTTTTAATTATTTTAAAATAGATTAATTCTTAGAAGAGTTAAATGTAAGAAATTCATCTAATCATATTGACAATAAATTATAGTAAGATTCAAAAATTATTTTAAACTAGCTTTATTTATTCAATGTAAAAAGTTGTTATTTTTCTGTTTTTGCATCATTTTTAACTTATCTAATTTATTGTTTATTAGTTGGTCAAAGTCTATAAACAGTTTTATTTAAACTCTTCAATAAATATCATAATAATTATAAAATTCTTCGCCTTATTCATATATTTTAAATAAAGATTTAAAAGTAATGTTTAAAATCAAAAAAGGAATATTTTTCTCTTGGAATTTTTCAAGTATTTTAAGCAATTTTGCATTAATTTACTTTCAGTGTATTATTGTAATTTCACTATTATAAATTTGATTCTCCTTTTGAAATTATCAACAGTATTAATGCTATTTTTGGATTACTATTTATTTTAATGTATATTACCCCATTACTTTCAATAACCACCAACTAAATTAAAAATAAAAATAAATGGAAATATTTTTACTTTGAATCTAAAACTTCTTTTTGGGCTATTTAATATAAATCCTTTTAAATATACAAAACCATCTTTTATATTCTAGTTATTGTAGAATTAATCAATTATCCAGAAATATAATCCATCTTGCTCTCTGTTCATTCCCTTGTATACTTAGTTTACTTGATCAAATTTAAGCCTTTATTATCTGCTTTTGAACTTTCGAAATAAATATGTAGAGAGTTCTTATTCACTATAATTACAGGAACCTTTTTACTTTATAGTTTTAAATTTGATTAAGATAAATTTATTTTCCTTGGGTGGATTCATATTACAATGTTTTGTGCTATTTTAGGGTCTAATATTTTAATAGACTTAATTTAATTAATCAAAAAGTTTTATGATATTTACTTGAAAAAGAGATAACAATAAAAAATGTAACTTGAAAAACAAACAAATATAAATAATGGAAGAGGAAATGCTATCATCTTGTAACCAGATATAAATTTTTCCAATTATTAGTAATGAAATTCATTTTAACAATTTTTATTGATTTTTATTATATATTCTAATTAACAAAAAAAAATTGATTTATCCACTTGCAATTTATAATCATTTAAATAAAAATTAACAAAGATAAAGTTTGATGATTATTTGTATTTCTTTTTCTCTACTCAAATAAAAAATCCTTACTTTGTTTCTATTTTTTTTTAAATACAACCGCGATTAATTTTATTTCATTAAATTATAAGCAAATACAGATTCATGAGTTTACTCTAGTGAACAAGATAATTCATGAGTTTATTTAGAAATTGGTAATGGAAAGGTATAAATTGTATCAATTATAATATTGATTTTATTTTTTGTAAAAACTTCCAGAGTGAACTCATATTTTATTAAAAATATTGCTTTTTAAAGTCAATTAATTTTAATTTTATTTGAGCAGAGAAATTCAATAGAAAATTTTTGGATATTTTCAAATATTAAAATCATATTATTATATTAATACTTAGTTGATTGTTCTATATTGATGAAAATTTCAAATTTTTTAATTGAAGTTTGTAAATTTCTTATTTAAAAATTCATTTCATATTTAAATACTTATACTAAGTTTTATAAATTCTATTTTTTAATATTATTTAATTGAGAAAAAGTTTATAAGAAAATTAGAATAAAAACATCAATTTTCTTTTGGAATTCATTTAGTTTTTATTATACTCCAAATATAAAATAATTAATTTGATATTTTTTATAAAATACAAATGTCTAACAAATTGATGTGAATAAAATGAATATTGTTTCTGTGTTAATTTAATTATTAATCATAAATTAAATTAAAAAAAATTTAATTAATGAGAAGAATAATAAAGAAAATAAAAAATCTAATGATTTTTTTAAATTAATTGATCAGATTTCATATCCTAAAATCGAAAATATTTCTTTATAAGGATATACTTAAGTTTATGAATGTTTTGATTATGATTGTTTTGAATATCCTCGAATAAGAAAAATAAAACTTCACTTAGTTTAAAAAAAAAAAACTACTATATAGCTTATATATAGGATGATTAAATTATAAGAATGTATTATTTTTTATTAATAGTGAATAACTTATGAATAATTAAATATAACCGAAAATATTAATCTATTTAGAATAGGTCAAATATTTAAATTGGATTCAAGAATATGGAAAGAATTAATAAAAAAATGGAAGATGGTTTGTTAAATGGAATGGGGAATTTATGATTGATGTAGGAGGATATTATTAAATTGAATGGAAGAAAAATGGGTTTTGGAAAGAGCTTATTGAAAATTATTAAAAGTAATAATAATATTTCTTTCTTAAATTAGAAATACATAAGTTTTGATATTCGAAGAATATTTGGATTATAGGATTTTGGCAATTTCTTTAAAATGAATAATTAATGTAATATTAATATATTTTATAGAGGAGGTGGATTGTATAATTAGTAAGGATTTAAGCATGGGTTATGGTCAGATTTAAGTGATAATTATCGCAAGTATAAATGATTTATTATTTTAAATTAATAGAAACAGTTAAGTTACTTATATTGGTGAATATAAAAATGGTCAGCAAGTTGGAAATTGGAAGATTAAATATAAAAACTAATTTATGTAAATTAAATAATAAATTGACATTAGTGGAGGTGGATATTATACTAGATAAGGTTTAAAAAGAGGTAAATGGATAGAGTTGAAGGATTTTCTATGTATAGAAATTATAAATTTTTTAAGAATAAGTTAAATTACTTTTGTTGGTGAATATAGAGAAGGATTAAAATTTGGAATTTGGGAAATTTTGGAAGAGAATTAATATATGTGAATTTAACAAAATATATTAGTGGATGTGGATTATATGATACTTATGGATTAAAGAATAAAAAATGGTTTGATTTGAATTAAAATTTTAAAGAGTAATATTAAATTTATAATAGTTACATATAAATTATTTATTAAGGAGAGTATAATGATGGTAAAAGGCAAGGTTATTGGAAGACTCTTTTCAGATATGATAGATAAAGTAATTTTGAGTAGATGTAAATAATAAATTATATTAAATAAACAGGTGTAAGGGATTTTCTAATGATAAAGGTTAAAAGAATGGTAAATGGATAGTATTGAATAATAATTTTAATCAGTAATATAATTATTTATAGAATATAAGTACTTGTCAAGTTATTTATGAAGGAGAGTATAAAAATGGATTATATATCCATAGATGGGATACAATATCTAGATATGATGAGGATCATGGATTTTTATATTTGTAAAATTATCAATAAATATATAAGATATAGTGGTGGATGTAGCTTTGATCATAATGGTTATAAGTATGGAAAATGGACAGAATTATAGGATAAATTTGAAGAGTATTATAAATATTAAAGTTCAGTTAGCGTTAAGTAATTTTTAATGGAGAGTAGAATAATCTTAAAAAGTCTGGTTAATGGGATATAATGTTTAGATATACTTTTAGGGATTAATTTAAAAAAGTGTAAATATTTTATTCAGAAAATTATCTTAAAATAGTGGAGGAGGATTATATAATGATAATGGTTTAAAGTAAGGAATATGGATTGATTTGAGTGAAAATTTTTAATTGTAAGATATTTTGAAAATTTTCTTTATTAAAAGGGATTAATAAATTGTGTATCAAGGTGAATATTAAAATGGTATAAAATGTGGTTTTTGGGTTAAAATGATTAGAAATAGAGAAAAAAATGATGAAAGATTTAGAATATTGGGAAACTAAAATTAATAGTTCAATTATGAAAAAATTAATTGAATCAAGAAAAATTATAAGATACATTTTAGCATTAAAATATTAATTCTTTAGAAGAATTCTTATATTTACTAAATTTAATTAATAAAAATTAAAAAAATTGTCTAAAATCAAATTAATATTATTAAATACTTTAATTCAAAAAAATCATAATTTAATTTATATCTTTTAAGATTAACTTTAATATAAGTTATTAATTCAAAAAGGAAATTTTCGAAAATTTATATTTGTGTAATTGATAAAAATTTCTCAATCCCTTATTTCAATGAATTATAAATATAAATAATATAATTTTAATAAATATCCTTCATTTAGACTATTTATTGATTAAATTAATTAAAAATATTTTAATAGTCCATAGTTCATAATTTATGATAAATTCCTGTAAAAATGTAAAGTTTGTTTCAAAATATAAAATTTAATGGCAAAAAATATTGATTTTTTATAACAAAAAATATCTGATATTTTAAAAAAATGGGAAACTAAGTATTTAAAATAATTAACATTATAAGACATCAATTATCCAAAGAGTTTCATTCCAAATAGTGGATCAGTCTCATCTGTTATTACATTTACTAATAATCATTTACTTCAAATATTAATTCATCTGCTTTAACTATAACACAATCCGCTGTTTATTTCTAAGCCTTCAAATATTTAAATTTTGTGGCCCATCAACACTAAGCTCTAATATAAATCTATTTTAATCCATCTCTTCATCTAATTTAAACTGATGATCCTTTTCAAGTATTTGATTACTAAATTTTCATTCCAGTCACATTGCAATATACAAATAATAAAAAAATGCTTTAAAATTTTGTGGATTAAATGATAATCTTTAGTTGGAAATATAAAGATTAAAAATATAATACAAACTAAAAAATTAAATCACTTTATAATATTTAATAAAATTGAGTATATAACTTTTTTTTTCGGTTTTCTTATTGAGTTAGGTTTTACAAAATCAAAAAATTAAACTATAAATGTAATAATTATCTACTAGAAATTGAAAATTTTATTAAAATTCATCCAGAAAGTGCCCCTAAAAGGTTTAACTTCAAAAAATGAATTGCTTTTTTTGAATTAGATGAAGCTTATGAATATCAAAGACTTTTGTATTTTTGGCTTAATTCGAGTGTATATAGGCGATAAAGTTTATTAAAGAATTTAATAATTAGAAAAATAATTAGAAGAAACAATATAAAAAAATTAATTTAGTAAATAAAATTAAATTCGTAATCTAAATTATAAAAAGAGATGGATAAATTAGGGTAAAGAAATATCTAAATTGAAATTATATTTATTGAAAATGTTAGAAATTTAGAGTTGCATCTTTTATAAAAAGATCATTAAAATAAAAATTCAGATTGGTGTATTAGAATGTGAATGATGATAATGAAAGCAATGTCTAAGTCATAAAATAAATACATCACCTGATTAGTAATCTAATCTTACTAATCATCACAATTAACATTTTTAGTTATAAAACTATTCTTTCTCATTTTTCTAATATTCTAATAACTGATTATTTATCATTATAGATTTAATAATCAATATTGCTATTGTTCTCTGCAAATTACACTTTCAATTTCAACAGCAGTTACAAATTCAACTTTTATATAAATTATATTTAACCATAATTTCAAGTTTAAACTTTCAAATGTTTACATTATTAATCCACCATTGTTAAACTATCAAAAATTGAGTTATACCTAATCATCCAAGTTCCTAAGAATCTATTACGACATTAAATTCTAAACAAACGATACAAGAATTTATAAATTTTGATAAAGTATTCTAGAAAAATAAATTTAATTCCATTAAAGACTATATATTACTTAATCTACAAATGCTAATATTTAATACAAATATCATATAATTATAGCCAATGGAGATCAATTTTTATTAGAGGGGTTTTAAATATATATCACTTGTTAAAGAATAAAAATATTTTTTTTATAAATCTTTATATAATTTTTAAACTTATTTTAAATAATCTAAAATTACTTTATTACAGCAACTGATAAAGTTATTAAATTAATAATCAATGAAAAATGTGATGTAATTAATATTAAGCTAAATCATTTAATTGAATCTAAAACATTTCTAGCTAAAATAAGTTCCTTATACATGAATATATATTATCATCTAATAAGATAATCCCTGAAATCTCTTGCTATTTCGGTTTCCGAACAAAAAATAATGGTAAACCTGATAATGCCAAATTTAATCTATGAAATTTAAATTTATTGTTTTAATGAATTTATATACATTTTCATTTTAGACCGACATCTTTCTGGGCTATTGTAATATTTCTTCCTTTGAACTCAATTAAATCAATTGATATTCCAAATATACTCTCAAAAGAAAATCAATTGAAATTATCCAATTTTTCAAACAATTAAATTATTAGCCTACTAAAATATTATTTCACTGCTCCTCCGTTGTTTCTAGATTTAAATACCACCATTATTGATTTTCTGTCTAAATTTGTTATTTTACTTTCTGCAAAAATTTGTTGAATAAACAATAATAATAATTTCAATACAAAATATAGATGAGAATAATTTTAAAAAAAAATGATATTTTAAATAAAAATTTTAATTCGTATTAGTCTAATAAATTATAATAATAATTAAAATAAAAATTTTAATTAGGATTAATATTTTCAATACATAAAGATATTTTTTAATAAAAATTATGATTCTAATTAGTTTAATTTATTATCATGATATATTTAATAAAAATCTTGATTAATATTCGTTTCATTTATTATTATAACATCATGGATAAAAATTAATGAATATTATAGTCAATAGATTTGAAGCAATTAAAGCATATAAAATTAATTGATGAATCCAACATCACGATAAAATAAAACCGAATTATTATTGCAGAAGCCAAAATTTCAAATATTTTAATTTTCTCTATTTATATATTACGACAGATTCAAATCAGAATATTGAGAAAATATTGATAGCTTTCATCATTAGTTTATTAAATTATTATCATTCTGCAATACTTGAACTTATGTTATAATAGGAACATGCAATGCAATATTAATGTTCTAGCTGTCGAATGAGATTCTGGAAGTTCAAATTTCAAAGCTTCTCCTAACAGATTAGAGTTATTAACTATCCAAATGATCAGTATATGCAGAATAAGTCTCTCTGCAGCTGATTCCATTTAATGCAGCTAATTCTTATAGTATTCTTTATTTGCCTGAAATACAAATTCAGAAGAATGATTTAGTTCTATCAATGTACTCCTCACAATTTCTAATAGATTTTGGATTTGGTATTGATGAACTTCACCCTTATTTGAAAGGAATTTGCGGTTTCTGTTTCTCTATACATCAAAAGTTTCTCATTATACACATGGAGCAACTTTTGGAGTCAATGTTAAAAATCTTAATCAATTCTAAAAGTTGAATCAGAAGAATTATTAGTTAATTTCAACAATTGTACATCAGTTGAACAAACATATTATTTGTAGATGCAACGCTAGAAGGATTTGATTTAAATTTTAAATAAGGTCCATCTCATTCTGTTCTTAGGATTTGTAATCCAGAAAGCTGCTGCTTTTGCATCTGATTAATATATTTAAATATGATTTAAAAACAGCCAGATTACGTTCAACAGTATTATACATTTNAATACATAAAGATATTTTTTAATAAAAATTATGATTCTAATTAGTTTAATTTATTATCATGATATATTTAATAAAAATCTTGATTAATATTCGTTTCATTTATTATTATAACATCATGGATAAAAATTAATGAATATTATAGTCAATAGATTTGAAGCAATTAAAGCATATAAAATTAATTGATGAATCCAACATCACGATAAAATAAAACCGAATTATTATTGCAGAAGCCAAAATTTCAAATATTTTAATTTTCTCTATTTATATATTACGACAGATTCAAATCAGAATATTGAGAAAATATTGATAGCTTTCATCATTAGTTTATTAAATTATTATCATTCTGCAATACTTGAACTTATGTTATAATAGGAACATGCAATGCAATATTAATGTTCTAGCTGTCGAATGAGATTCTGGAAGTTCAAATTTCAAAGCTTCTCCTAACAGATTAGAGTTATTAACTATCCAAATGATCAGTATATGCAGAATAAGTCTCTCTGCAGCTGATTCCATTTAATGCAGCTAATTCTTATAGTATTCTTTATTTGCCTGAAATACAAATTCAGAAGAATGATTTAGTTCTATCAATGTACTCCTCACAATTTCTAATAGATTTTGGATTTGGTATTGATGAACTTCACCCTTATTTGAAAGGAATTTGCGGTTTCTGTTTCTCTATACATCAAAAGTTTCTCATTATACACATGGAGCAACTTTTGGAGTCAATGTTAAAAATCTTAATCAATTCTAAAAGTTGAATCAGAAGAATTATTAGTTAATTTCAACAATTGTACATCAGTTGAACAAACATATTATTTGTAGATGCAACGCTAGAAGGATTTGATTTAAATTTTAAATAAGGTCCATCTCATTCTGTTCTTAGGATTTGTAATCCAGAAAGCTGCTGCTTTTGCATCTGATTAATATATTTAAATATGATTTAAAAACAGCCAGATTACGTTCAACAGTATTATACATTTCATTACCATTTTAAATGTGATCAACAATATCATAGCATATATTCTCTATAACTAATGCAACGAGAATTTCAATTGTGAATTTGTTTCTGTGATATCAACTTGAAACTACTCCATTATTATTGAAATTGATTGGAAATCTATTTAGATGTCTTATGGAAATAAAGACTCCATAATAATTAATTGTATCTTCAGAAACAGCAACAATTTTTCTAACTACTTCATCATAATAAGAAAGAAAGATAATCATCAATTCTTTAAACAAAATTTTAGTTATTTCCCAATAATAAGCTTCTAACTTATATTCATTGTATAAATATCCCCATTTCTATCTTGTTTTTTTTTGTTATAATGTTTTTTAATTTATGTACATAGAAATAAAGAAAAATAATGGTATAATAAAAGCAATTAGAATCAAAAGTGGTAAAATAAATCTAAATAACCATAATTAATGAATTGGGGTATCATATTTATAGGCAACATTAGCTTATATCCAATTAAATCCAGATATAGACCTATATGATATTAAACTAATCAAGCCACCTACCAAAGATGGTTAGAGGTATATGTACATATAGATTAATGTTGTAGTAATTGCAGCTAAACGATAAGGAGTGTTATATATTTTCGATACAATCAAATAAAATAAGAAAAATAAACCAATATAAAGGAATGGCATAATAAATTACCAAACAATACTAGAATAATGAATTTGAAAATCGAATAAATCCTTTAGTAAGCAATCTAGAGAATGAGTAATAGTTTAAATTGGATTGCCAATAGCATTAACAACTTCACCAACACCAATTATATTTGAAATTTTAAAAGTAAAAATAACAGATACAATTTATAAATGATGAGTAATCATTTTAATTAAGATACCAAAATTAGAATGGTATTCTATCTTAGAAATAATGAGTTTTGAAATTACTTTTTTAAGTAATATTTATTCATTTAATGATACATTACTCCTTACAGAAATTAATATAGAAATAAAAGTCCTAAATAAATAATAATTATTATTTACCATAAACTGATGGCAATAATAGCAACAATATTTTAATTATTTTCAACGCAAAGGCCACAAGAATATTGCCAACTTATTGAAAAATATCCAAATCCTCTTGAATTTTAAATATCACATTCTTCACATAATGCTCCTATATGGCCTTTGAAACAGGATATATCACCTTCAATCCATCCACCATTGCAATTATCTTGTAAATTGATACATTGACTGATGATATTAGTATAAATAAATAAATATAAATGATCATATCAAAATAGGGTAGAATTAATGAGTATAAACCTTATGTAGCATTACAAGGTAAACAAATACCATCATAAATTATTTCTCCTAACTAACAAGGTAATGATTTGATGTTCATTCTTAAAAAATAATTATTGTGGTATCCAAGGATTTCTGTATTTTTACCATATATAGGTGTGAAAATGGAATCACAATGAAATTATAATTATAATGTGATATTCTATTAATTATTTAAGTAAAAGATGATATCATCGAAATTATAATCAGTTTAATTAAATATGGCTTAATTAGGACTCATAAAATCTTATTTAAAATCTGAATCTTCATTATCAATAAGTATCCTACCACTTAGAGAACATTTACTACCATCTAATTTTTATTGTATATTATTTTATTAATCTAAGGCATACAATCTTAAATGTAGATTATATTGAATATATTCCTATTTCTATTGATCAAAATATTAATATTCTGACATAATCTATCCATTTGGAACATATAATGAGCCAGAATAAGTGCTAGAAAATAGTGAATATCGAGGAATCTAAATTTGTTCTATCAAAATATTTTCTTTCTCTAATATTTTTATTTTCGGCAATGTATGCTATAAATCAATTGAAACTGATAATTAAGAAGGAAGTTAAGCAGAATTATCTCCAAAAAGAGTTCCTTTATTATCATTTATTAGTGTTTCTTAATGTTTTAAATTTTAAATTATTTAATTTTTTAGAAATAATCCTCCACCATATTAAGCTTTATTAAATTAAATCACAGTGTTTAATACAAAAAAACTTGAATTCCCAGTTAAATATATTGATCCACCCAATGATTCAGCTGTATTATTTTATAATAAAGAATCTTTAATTAAGGTTGTTGTATCTTATATTTAAAGACATGTACCTTAATAAGCATAATTTCCAACACATTTATAGTTTACTAATTTAAATTCATAATTTTTTTAATTGATATGATGAATTAATGATTACAAAATTCTAGATGCTTAAATAGATTTCATAATATTCAAACAACTTTGTTGGCCACATTAATTATCAACGAAAAGGATTGATATCATTATTATTCTAGTTTATTAATCCAGTATTCTTATATCAAGTAACCCTTATTTACAAACTTTGCAATTGATATTTTTTATATTTAATTGTGAAATTTATATTAGTGTCTCATCAGGATTAATATTCATTAGCCCTATTACTGAATTCTTTTAAGCATTCATTTTGTTAATGATACAATAACCATTTGATAGATGATCTTGAACAAACTTAGATATTAAAAATTTAGGAGAATCTTAAACGCTTAAATTATTTGAGCATATTTATTGTATCTCTTCTAAATTATTCTAAATGGAGGTGCATTTATTTTCNTAGGGTAGAATTAATGAGTATAAACCTTATGTAGCATTACAAGGTAAACAAATACCATCATAAATTATTTCTCCTAACTAACAAGGTAATGATTTGATGTTCATTCTTAAAAAATAATTATTGTGGTATCCAAGGATTTCTGTATTTTTACCATATATAGGTGTGAAAATGGAATCACAATGAAATTATAATTATAATGTGATATTCTATTAATTATTTAAGTAAAAGATGATATCATCGAAATTATAATCAGTTTAATTAAATATGGCTTAATTAGGACTCATAAAATCTTATTTAAAATCTGAATCTTCATTATCAATAAGTATCCTACCACTTAGAGAACATTTACTACCATCTAATTTTTATTGTATATTATTTTATTAATCTAAGGCATACAATCTTAAATGTAGATTATATTGAATATATTCCTATTTCTATTGATCAAAATATTAATATTCTGACATAATCTATCCATTTGGAACATATAATGAGCCAGAATAAGTGCTAGAAAATAGTGAATATCGAGGAATCTAAATTTGTTCTATCAAAATATTTTCTTTCTCTAATATTTTTATTTTCGGCAATGTATGCTATAAATCAATTGAAACTGATAATTAAGAAGGAAGTTAAGCAGAATTATCTCCAAAAAGAGTTCCTTTATTATCATTTATTAGTGTTTCTTAATGTTTTAAATTTTAAATTATTTAATTTTTTAGAAATAATCCTCCACCATATTAAGCTTTATTAAATTAAATCACAGTGTTTAATACAAAAAAACTTGAATTCCCAGTTAAATATATTGATCCACCCAATGATTCAGCTGTATTATTTTATAATAAAGAATCTTTAATTAAGGTTGTTGTATCTTATATTTAAAGACATGTACCTTAATAAGCATAATTTCCAACACATTTATAGTTTACTAATTTAAATTCATAATTTTTTTAATTGATATGATGAATTAATGATTACAAAATTCTAGATGCTTAAATAGATTTCATAATATTCAAACAACTTTGTTGGCCACATTAATTATCAACGAAAAGGATTGATATCATTATTATTCTAGTTTATTAATCCAGTATTCTTATATCAAGTAACCCTTATTTACAAACTTTGCAATTGATATTTTTTATATTTAATTGTGAAATTTATATTAGTGTCTCATCAGGATTAATATTCATTAGCCCTATTACTGAATTCTTTTAAGCATTCATTTTGTTAATGATACAATAACCATTTGATAGATGATCTTGAACAAACTTAGATATTAAAAATTTAGGAGAATCTTAAACGCTTAAATTATTTGAGCATATTTATTGTATCTCTTCTAAATTATTCTAAATGGAGGTGCATTTATTTTCATTAGGAATTTGATCCAATAATTCTATATTGGAAACATAAAAGCCCACCATTTTAACTCGAGAATCTTACATTAAACTTAATTAGAGAAGGGAATTTTGTAAGGTAGAATTTAATATTTTGCAATTTAGCATTTCTATTATTAATGTCTATTAGAAAATAGCTAGAGCTTCATATAATAAAGACACAATTTGTAAATTCTTTAGACTTATCAACTTTGAATATGTGATATCTATGAGGCTTCTCTAAAGTTTTAATTCTGATAATAATTATAAATTTGGTTAATTAAACTTACTTATAAAACTTAAATAACCTTATTATGTATTTGTAAGTTCCAAGTTTTCTAAAATAAGTTATTATTTTGAATTAGTAAAAGATGAAAACTCAACATAAATTAATGATCCTTTTAAAGAATACACATCCTTAATGACTAGATTTTATAATAAAATTTTAGTGCTTTCTAATGCATTTTATAAATAAAGAAATCCACCTTTATTTCTACAATTAATATTGGTTGCTTGTATATTTATAAATTATATTTTTGTAGAAACAGAAATAGAAGTATCAATCAAAAAGGCTCCACCATTTTCATCTTCACTTATAAATAATCCACTTATAAATTATATGATTACATCCTATACTTATAGAGAAGAATCTTTTTCTAAATATATTTAAAATCCTGAACTTGTAGAATTATAAATTTAGATATTCTTCATAACTATTTATTAACATACTATTTTCCCGTTTCCTGTTTTAACTTTGATTGGAAATTTTTGAATTATTTATTCTATAAAAATATTTTGATCCTTCTAAAATCCCCAATATAAATATGGTTATAAAAGGGAATAATCAAATAAACTATTTTAAATAAAAGTACAATTTTTTATTACAATACTTTTTGTTTGTATGTAAATAATACTATTAGAAGAGTTTGTAACAATATTTCCTTTCACTGTTAAATTATCAAAGAGTATTGTACAATCTTTACAATCAATTAAAAAAATTAAACCAGAATTGATTTGATCCATGTATATATATTAATGCATCGCATTTCTCTCAAATAATGAATTTTTTATTTTTATATCATAATCATCTTCAGTAGATATTTTCATTATAGAATTTAACTAAAATTTATTAGTAGTCAAAAGTAAATTTTAATAGAAATGCATTTCTGACAATAAAATGAATTTCTAAGTTTGAGATTAAAGATTAGAAGTTTTTATTTCAATAACAGGATTATTATTAGATTAGGCTTTTTAAATAACTAATTATTTTATATCAATCATTGAGACATCTATAATTTTCATATAAAGACTATCATAATGATTAACAAGAAATTTCTAATAGCAATCCAAATTTAAATAAAGACTTTAAGATATTTAATTATTGCTTTGTTACATTTTTATTTAATTTAATTTTATTTCATTAGCATTGATAATTACTAAATCATGTATCCCATTTGCTTTTTGAATTATTAATTGCTCTATCATTATTGTATCTATTTCTAAATAAATTAAGGCTTCATTTAAAATATTAAATGTCGATTGTGCAGGTATTGATAATAGTTTATTTTCAATCATTGATAATTAATTTATAATCATATTTTTATTAGACGATATATGGGAAGTGATTTTTATAAAACTAGCATTTTAGTTATACTAATTTAATTCAAATGTAACCTCCTACATAAAAATATCTTAAATGGTAGATTTTTCATTTTCTATTATAAATGAATTGTTGTAAAGGTAATTTTCTACAAAGTTTAACTTCATCATTTTAGTCTATTAATTGAGACTAATAATGCTGCCATTATAAATCTAATTTTAAATAAAATCTAATGAGATTAATTCAAATTATTACAAGGAACTAACTTCAAATAATCCATTTAAAGAAGATATTTAACATGAATAGATATGAATCTAATTAAGTTTTAGTAAACCATTTGTTTAATATAAAAATGCTTAATCAAAATAAGTTTATTCGATATTTACATTTTAAATTTCTACTTAATCATTTAATTTGAGATCAAACCAAAATAATTTGACATTTTAAAATGAACTATTTATTATTTAAAAATTTTATATCTTGATTGTCTACATAGAATTAATCTATAAAATCTGAAAAAAGGAATCAATAGGATATTTTCTTGTGCAATTTTTTACCAAAAAATTCTATATTAAAACATTTTTTGCATTTTCAATTATGGTATAGAAAGTTGTTAAATTAAAGTCTTACTCATAAATTACATCAACTAATTCAATAGTTTATTTAAAAAGACTAGAAAACTTTAATAAATTTCGACCAAAACTAAAATACTCGACTTCAAGTTAAACTCCTTCGATGCGTATTCTACTAAAATTGGAAAATAATAGTTATTTTTAAAACTTAAATGAAGTAACATTATTACCATAAATTTCTAGCTCTACATTTCTAATTTAAATAATTATTTAATTACATTGCTGAGAAAATATTTGTACTAAATTCTTAATTAATCATTTACTAAGCATCTTTAATTTTTAAGACCAAAAATCTTTATTAAGATTTTTTTAATAGATTATTAGTTTGCAAAAGAATAAAATTAGTTTGTCTCAAACTAAAATCATAAATTTATAATTACTTAAAAAAAGCTTTAGGATGAAAACAGATGATCACTTAAAATATTTGATTCTCTGAAGTAAGTTTTTTCATCTTCCGTTTTTAATTAATCAATTTATTATTAGTATTCATTTATGTTACAAATTAGATTTAATTTTATTTCTATTTATTTTAAGCATTGATCATTTTCACAATCTATATAAATACCTAAATCTTAATCTAAAATTCCTTTAAATCCTGAAATGCATTGATATGAGTAATGATAAAACTCTGAATTAGTCTTAAATAGTGGATTAATTAATAGTAGTTCTTGTTCATCTCTTTATACACATAAATTACAATTCGTTGGACAACTAACACATTAGTTATTTATTAAACTACGATTTCTTCCATTTAAACTTAGAGGGCATTTAATGCAAATATTTTTAGAATTCACTAAAACACATTCTAAGCATGATTCAGGACAGCTTTAAATACAATAATCTCCATGAAATTCATATCCTGATTTACATACAGTACAGAGAATTTCATAATCAGAATCATCTTAACTTAGAGCAAATAGAGTAAATTTATGCATGTTTTCTTCTGTTTCTATATTTGCCCTATAATAGGCACGTATAGCAATTTTCCAATGATCTTTAGTAAATTTGTTTTATTAATAACAACTCAAGCAATTTAAATTTGATGGACATGAATAACAATAGCCTGTCCTTTTTTCTGCATAATAACCATTCTCACAAGCAATACAACCATAAGTAGCTTTTTCAAGTATTTGGTATATATCTCCAGAATAATAATCATATTCATAATTTATAGTGAACTGTTCAATCAGACAATGTACACAACCTAATTTCAGACTTGAGCATTTATCTGAAAAAGAATATATTAACTCTCTTTATTAATAAGGTCCAAATAAGCAAACCAAAAATCTGTATCCAGCACCTCTATCAAAAAACTATTGGCATGTATCAAGTTAACCTTCTAAACATATATTTTAATCTTGAATATAATAATAGCCATCTTTACACTTTGCACATTAAGGATATGTATTTTCATCCTCCTATGGATGAAAATCATAATCTAATGAATTAACTGTACGATCCCACAAAGATTCAAACGCATATTTACAATTTTCAATTTAATTTCTTTTGCAATCCTTAGCATTTAGTGATAAATAATATGATTCTTTATTAAGACAAGTTTAACATTACATTATGTTATATTTTTCAGAATATTTACATGTTTTACAAAAATCACCACATCTATTACATGAACCATTTTCAAGTCCAAAACCTATTTCACAATTTTAGCAAATTGTTTCACTTTAACAATTTAAACAATATTTAGGGCATTGTAAACAAGATTTATAATCTTTAGATACATAATAACCACTTATACATTCAAGACATTATTATTCTTTTTAATTTACATTAGCACAAGCGCTATCTAATAATTTACAACTTTTGTTAATATAATAAAGATTTTTCTTACATAAACCAAATGTAATACTCTATAAATGTTATATTCCTAATTCAAAACAATTTTCTGATTAGATTTAAGTGATATCACAAAAATCATAAACACCCTCTACTAATAGCAAATTATAATTATTGTCTATGNTATCCTGATTTACATACAGTACAGAGAATTTCATAATCAGAATCATCTTAACTTAGAGCAAATAGAGTAAATTTATGCATGTTTTCTTCTGTTTCTATATTTGCCCTATAATAGGCACGTATAGCAATTTTCCAATGATCTTTAGTAAATTTGTTTTATTAATAACAACTCAAGCAATTTAAATTTGATGGACATGAATAACAATAGCCTGTCCTTTTTTCTGCATAATAACCATTCTCACAAGCAATACAACCATAAGTAGCTTTTTCAAGTATTTGGTATATATCTCCAGAATAATAATCATATTCATAATTTATAGTGAACTGTTCAATCAGACAATGTACACAACCTAATTTCAGACTTGAGCATTTATCTGAAAAAGAATATATTAACTCTCTTTATTAATAAGGTCCAAATAAGCAAACCAAAAATCTGTATCCAGCACCTCTATCAAAAAACTATTGGCATGTATCAAGTTAACCTTCTAAACATATATTTTAATCTTGAATATAATAATAGCCATCTTTACACTTTGCACATTAAGGATATGTATTTTCATCCTCCTATGGATGAAAATCATAATCTAATGAATTAACTGTACGATCCCACAAAGATTCAAACGCATATTTACAATTTTCAATTTAATTTCTTTTGCAATCCTTAGCATTTAGTGATAAATAATATGATTCTTTATTAAGACAAGTTTAACATTACATTATGTTATATTTTTCAGAATATTTACATGTTTTACAAAAATCACCACATCTATTACATGAACCATTTTCAAGTCCAAAACCTATTTCACAATTTTAGCAAATTGTTTCACTTTAACAATTTAAACAATATTTAGGGCATTGTAAACAAGATTTATAATCTTTAGATACATAATAACCACTTATACATTCAAGACATTATTATTCTTTTTAATTTACATTAGCACAAGCGCTATCTAATAATTTACAACTTTTGTTAATATAATAAAGATTTTTCTTACATAAACCAAATGTAATACTCTATAAATGTTATATTCCTAATTCAAAACAATTTTCTGATTAGATTTAAGTGATATCACAAAAATCATAAACACCCTCTACTAATAGCAAATTATAATTATTGTCTATGTAATACAAATCATAATCCAAAGTAGATCTTATTTCTTAAGTGTACGCATCTTAATCTTATGTTACTTATTGTGTTATAAAATCAGTTTTACATATAGGTCTTTTATACCAATTTGCTGAATCTAATATACAATCTACACAAAATAAATTATATGAATTCCATTAAGGACTAAATAAATTAAGAATAAAAATTACCATTTTATACACTATTATATTATAGGTAAATAAAAATATCCAAATAGACATTTAGAATTTGTTAATTCTATTTATATTTCCACTAAACTTAATGTTTTATATATATCATTAAATGAATAGCATTTTTAATTCTCTTCTATTTATCCAAGTCGGCAACCACATTAATGTAAATCTTCCCAAAATACTTTTCCACTATTTTCATCGCAAGTTAAACAATTTGTATTTAATGGACCATCACAAGTTAAACAAGTTTAATGACATTCTAAGAATATATTACATTCATACTAATTTAAATATTCAAATCATTTTGATAATTTGAAATAAAATAAAATCCTGATAATTAACCTAAAGTCTTTAAATAAAAATGAGAGTCACCTCCAAAAATAGCATAAAATTTAGTATTAACAAATAATCCTTTATTTAAGTAATTTCCTAAATAATAAGTATTAGATATCAAGTTTTTATTTTCAAAATGACTTAATATGAATTATGTTTTTTATTCTTTTCCAACAATTCCATATTCAAAAGAAATAAAATGCCATTTTGTTAATAATTCTTAATATGGTAAATCATCTCTTAAGCTGATTTTATCATTCTATGATAAAGATACATATTAAGGGTATGGTAACCAATAATGATGAGATATTATATCATATCCACAGTTTTAACTGCTAGATAAATCCAGATTTGCAACAATTTTTAATACTTCATCACCAATTTTAGTTTCATCTAAATAATTCTTAAAAATTGTTAATCTAACTAATAAGTACTATTTTAATGAATAAGCATTATAAATATAATATTTTGCCCAACCAAAAATACTAAATTTTCTACCAAATTAATCAAATTCAAATTCTTTTTAAAGTAGTCCATCAAAATTGATAAGATCAGGAATTAAACTGATTTTTTATTCATATTCATTAATTCTTAACTCTTTGATTCTTTAAGAATATATATCTTCAAATTTTACATCTGAATAATGTATAAAAAGCTTTGATAATCTTCCTCTAAATATTCCTAATATATAATCATCAATCTAAAATAATTAAATATTAAATTACAATTTCTGTTCCTCCAATAGAAATTTATATTTTATTTAAACTTTACTCAAAAGTAGTTTAAAATAAATTCTCTCCCATTGCACCTGAGGCTTAATAAACCATTTTTTACTAATAAAGAGTTATTAAATGTAATATCCATATTCCCTCATATTCACTTGGATCATAAGCTATGTGAAAAATTTTATTATCAGTATGTAATTTATGAATTACATAATCGGAAGTCATTAATTTTGTATACATAAAGAAAAACACCTCATTGTTCTATTAATTTTTAATTAAAATTAATAATTAATCTTTAAATATATTCCAATAGTATTACTATTCCACCCAAGGATCATATATAACTTACTAATGTGATATAAAAAAACTCCAAAATTCAAATTGAATTGGGTAATTTATGTTTTCTACTTCCATTTGCATAATTGGATCGAACTTACTAATTAATAATGCTTCGTTAAATTAAGAGCAATAAACTAAACATACTATTGCAGCCATATACAGAAATGACTTTTAAATCTGAATATCTTTACCCATAATATATAGCAAATTATTTAATATTAATTTTAATAAAATATATAATTCGTTTGCAGCTTATAAACTAAAAATTTTAAATTAAATTTAAGATATTTTTAGAAATTATTTTATATCAATATTTGATAATTTCTTTAATAATTTGCAATAACCCTTCAACATTATTATTTATTATTTTAAAGTTATTTGTAAAGTTATTCATTTTATCAAATATAATAATGAGCTAATCTATCAGTACAGGCTTGATATTCTATAACTTTGATATTTTATGCTTAAAATTACAAATTATTAAATATGGTAAATTTCAAACCTAAAATATTATTGAACCAAAAACTTATTTTATTCAATTTATATCTTTCTAATTCCTAGTCTCATGATATTTAACTATATTATTAGTAAATTCTACTCGGATGATCATTTCAATAAGAAAAAAAAGAAGAAAAACCTTTTCTTATTAGGACTTTAAAATTGCATGATATTTTAATCCATACAAGTATTTTAAAACTAGTTAGTGATTTTTTGTACTAATTTAATTTAGGTTGAACTTAAATAAATCACCTAGTTTTTCTTTCACTGAATGACTCAGTTCATTATAAATAAAAAAAGCATGCTTATTCACATAATTTAAAACTTAAAAGCTTTCTTCTAAATTCTAAAAATGTAAGAAATAGTCTATGAAGGTAGCATAAAAATTTATATTGAATTATTAAATAGTATTCAAAATATATATATATATTTAATTCCCAATAAAGTATATTTTCTAATATAAGTTCTTTAAGCTTTCTGAATTAGTAATAGACCTATATGATAACTAAAAAATAGTAAATTAGCCTGCTTTTGTTCTACATACTTCATCTTTACAATATGATTTTATATTTTAAACTAATTAATTCATGATCAATCTAAAAAAAAAGCTTTTGGATCTGATATAGAATTAAAATTAAATAATTATTGGCATTTTTCAAATTAGCATCATGAAGAGGATTTTATTTCATTTATTCTTAACTAATTTATTATAATATTTACTTAAAAATTTTTAATATTGTTTTTATTATGTCATAATGTGTTTCATTTATTTTTTTATTGGATTAGCAATAATCCTGAAAATTTTTAATAAAAATTCTAATGATATGATTTATTTATTATTAGTAAGCTGCTTATATTTTACCTCAATTAAAGCATTACATATTTATTAACATCAATGAATCAAATATTCAATAATAAAATTATTAGGATTTCAGAAATTTGAAATTAGCATAAGTTTAAATTCTTAATTATAATTTAATTATTTTTGAAATTCAAAAGCTTGAAAAATAAAAATTAAAAATATATTTATTAAATGAAATAAAAAGGAAAAATTTTTGAAAAACTTGTAAAAGTAAACTTATTTGGTTATCTAATTCTTCTGAGAATTGAGGTCAATCGTATAAATTTTAAAGTAATTTTGCTGTCACTCTTCCTATTCTATTAGGAAGTCTAATTGATACTAAAATTATCTTGTATTTAAATTTATACTCTTGTGAATGTTTGATTTGAAGATTTATAATAAAATAAAGTACTATTTCATAAGAAATTATGAAGCAACCTATTCAATGTTATAATTTGTCAATAAACTCAAGTAATTCTATTTTGATAAAAATAATACTTTGGTTAAAATTTATAGTATAACAAAATCAAAAAGGAAAAATAGTGATAAACGATATGCTCTGATTTTAATATGATTATTTTAGATCAATAAAATTAGAGTCTTTTTGTATTGGACCATACTTAATGAGATTTGGAATAATTATTAATAAAAAGAAACAGAACCAAGAAAATGTCCATTCCTCTTTTCTAGATCCTCGATAAATTCATTGATTTTGTAGATCTTTTAATTAATTTACTAAGAGCAGTATTTAATATTCCATAAACTAACCTTATTACCGTTTAAATTATAATTACCAGCATATATAATTTAATTGCCCTATCTTTAATCATTATAGTATTCACCTTCCTCAAATACAAGAGCTTAACTAGTCTTTACTTTATAATTACAATTTACCTGTAATAATTTGCCCCCTACTTTTCAAGAATTTAACATTTCCATCTAACTTCACATTTAGTAAACTTATTCAAATTCTTTTCATATTTTCCTTTCAATTGCAGAAATTATTTCTATTCCAGATTTCTCAATAGAATTGTACTTGATTAGATATTACTTAATAATTCACATATTTGATCAATATATATTCTAATACATCCTCAAGATTTATCCTTCTCTGTTATATTTGACTTCCATAATTTTAGTATTCGTAAAATTTATTTTAACTTTGGTGAACCCACAGCTGATATTACTGTAATTTAAAACTTGAAGTTCTTAAATATCCAATTATCTATTCTGAAACAAATACTATTTTATTTTATTGTTTGATTTCTGATTTCTGATTTCCCATCTCCCTCAAATTAATTAAAGAATATTCTTATATATATATGATCAATACATCTTTATTTAATTCATTAGCTAAAGTTTGTTTAATTTTTTTCAAATAAAGTATTGAAGCTTAATAATTCTTATTATTTTTTGTTCATAATAGATTCTATTTTTTCATTTTTTGATTACTATGCTATAAATACTTTATTGTGTTATTATCCAAACTAATTTTTTTGCAAAATCTTCTACTTATTTTATTCTATTGGTGATAAGTTAAGTAAAGAATGTTTGAGTTTTGATAATGGCATCATTTTGAGAATATTTGAGTAGAATTATGAAGGCAAAAAAACTCTATCTATTTTTATCTTTGAATTATTTAAAAAAATGGATTAAGCAGATGCTCTCTTTTGAAAAACAGCCAATTAATTATTAATTGGCACAAGATTTCTTGTTACATTCATTATTGTTTACTCATAATAGAGTTTTGATAAATTATTTAAAAATTTTGACTCACTAACTTTATTTTTATTACAATAAATATGGAGTTATTCAATCATTCAATTTAGTTAATATTTAAAAAATTAAAGATTCTAATTTTTTTAATATGCCAATCGATATTTTTGATTAATCTAATATAATGAGATTTAATTTATAATAGAAATTTGTTAGGAAAAGCGAAATTGTTAAAAAATAACAGTCAATTGAATGTTCCAGTATAAATCTAGAATATCTCTATCTGTTAAAAATATATGGAATATATGTTATTTAACGGTAGCGATAATTTGCCAGCATCAATTAGTTTAATTAGAATATGGCATTATTTTCAAGATTGACCACTCATAGAGATTCTCAAGTAAATATATTATTATATCCTACTCTTTAATTTTTCTTAATCTTGCAGTTTATGTAATATCTAGTTCTAATAATGAAGGTAATTGATTTGTTTAATTTAATCATAGCATGAGAGAAAATCTTAACTTACGATTTGCTTTAATACAATATGAATTTACAAGCTCAACTATTTTTTGTAAATTGAAATTAATAGCTCTTATCTTGAATATTTAAAATGATTTGAAGTCAGTTAAATTTATCATTTATTTAGTATTATATGATTATATTTATTATTTATTTGATTATATAAAAATAATCATCCATTTTAATTTTAATCTAAATTCTAAAGGATTTTTCTAAAGCTAAAATATTTAATTCAATTTTAATTTGAAATAAAGGAATTCTTATATTTTACCATAATTTAAAATTGCTTTGAATTAAGCCTCGAAATTTTGTTTATAACATAATAATGATTGTCAAAATACTTGGCATAGTTTTATTTGCTTAGATGAATATGATAGAAAAAAAAGACATTTAAAGAAATAAAACGAAAAAATGAACTTTCTTATTCATTAATAATAAAAAGTAATACAATTATCAAATTTGACTGAAATATTTGAGATTTACTAGACATAAAAATTTAGAAATATACTTAAATTATTAATTTTATACATTTTTTGCAATTATTGTGAAAATGAAATTAATCTAATTATAAGAGTAATTTTCTTATAAAATGAATATCTATTAATAACATATTTCCTTAATATCATAAATCTATAATTTACTTGAACTCATAATTACACTCTTAGTTAATAAGATTAAATTTCGAATAAGCTTCAGAAAAGGAATTTCGAATATTCTAGTACTATTTTATTAAGCATAATAGATATTGACAAAGCTTTAGTAAATTTCTTAAATCTCAATAAATTCTAATTTTTAGAAATCAGATTTAAAGGAGTCTCAAGTTTAAAATGGTTTAATTTTTGCTTTTTGTCATTTTAATTAAATTTCAGTAATATTATGGTGGCTTCTTAAATTTCTTTTCTGAAAATTTTGTTTTTAAGATCGATAATCTATGAAAATTGTTTAACAGATAATATTTAAGATTGTAGATATACAGATTTTACAATAAATGGAGTAAGCAATGCGACATTAGAAAGATGTGGGACAAACCCAAAAAACTTATTGATGGGTCCATATGGATTTTAAACTACAATTACTAAGACTTTTACAAACATTCCTCCAAATAATTAATTAGAATTTTCAGTTGGAATATGGAAATTAGATTCTTGGGATAGTGAAGGATTTGAGATATATGCAAATGATATTTTGCTAGAAAACCTGATTTTGAGTTATCATGATGGAACCATGATATGCAGAAGTGTAATATGGGAAGATTTACTTGTCCCTATCTCAAAAAAATTTTAAATATCATAACATGAACTCACAATTAAATTGAAAGACAAATTGAATTTAGGTTCTAGTTGGGGTGAAACTGATCTCTGGGATGGTATTAAATATTTAGTTATGAATTAGAGTCTTGGGGGTATAGGGATGTAATTATAAGACTTTCTGTTCCTTGTGTTAATTTTTATAGCGAATGCAATTATATTGGAACAATGTTTTAAATATGTTAAGGAGAATAAACCAAATTTTAACATAATATTCCCTTTGAGATAAAATCGATTTTAATGGGTCCTGGTATTATAGTGAAAATAAAGGGTCCAAGCTATTTTCAAGGTGTTTAATAAGAATTTACTTCTTCAAACCCTTGCTTTGATAGTTATACGGTATAAGTCTTACAATAATTACTTAGTTTCCAAAAGTCGCTTATGAAATGTGAATTAAAATTAGTAAAAATTATTGATTATACAGATAAGAAAACTTAAAATTTTTTCTTAACTCATTTAACAATCAATAAATTAATTTAATTATACTGCTGTCTGTCTAAGAAAAACATTCCCTANTTAAGAGTAATTTTCTTATAAAATGAATATCTATTAATAACATATTTCCTTAATATCATAAATCTATAATTTACTTGAACTCATAATTACACTCTTAGTTAATAAGATTAAATTTCGAATAAGCTTCAGAAAAGGAATTTCGAATATTCTAGTACTATTTTATTAAGCATAATAGATATTGACAAAGCTTTAGTAAATTTCTTAAATCTCAATAAATTCTAATTTTTAGAAATCAGATTTAAAGGAGTCTCAAGTTTAAAATGGTTTAATTTTTGCTTTTTGTCATTTTAATTAAATTTCAGTAATATTATGGTGGCTTCTTAAATTTCTTTTCTGAAAATTTTGTTTTTAAGATCGATAATCTATGAAAATTGTTTAACAGATAATATTTAAGATTGTAGATATACAGATTTTACAATAAATGGAGTAAGCAATGCGACATTAGAAAGATGTGGGACAAACCCAAAAAACTTATTGATGGGTCCATATGGATTTTAAACTACAATTACTAAGACTTTTACAAACATTCCTCCAAATAATTAATTAGAATTTTCAGTTGGAATATGGAAATTAGATTCTTGGGATAGTGAAGGATTTGAGATATATGCAAATGATATTTTGCTAGAAAACCTGATTTTGAGTTATCATGATGGAACCATGATATGCAGAAGTGTAATATGGGAAGATTTACTTGTCCCTATCTCAAAAAAATTTTAAATATCATAACATGAACTCACAATTAAATTGAAAGACAAATTGAATTTAGGTTCTAGTTGGGGTGAAACTGATCTCTGGGATGGTATTAAATATTTAGTTATGAATTAGAGTCTTGGGGGTATAGGGATGTAATTATAAGACTTTCTGTTCCTTGTGTTAATTTTTATAGCGAATGCAATTATATTGGAACAATGTTTTAAATATGTTAAGGAGAATAAACCAAATTTTAACATAATATTCCCTTTGAGATAAAATCGATTTTAATGGGTCCTGGTATTATAGTGAAAATAAAGGGTCCAAGCTATTTTCAAGGTGTTTAATAAGAATTTACTTCTTCAAACCCTTGCTTTGATAGTTATACGGTATAAGTCTTACAATAATTACTTAGTTTCCAAAAGTCGCTTATGAAATGTGAATTAAAATTAGTAAAAATTATTGATTATACAGATAAGAAAACTTAAAATTTTTTCTTAACTCATTTAACAATCAATAAATTAATTTAATTATACTGCTGTCTGTCTAAGAAAAACATTCCCTAACATCGTTAAATTAAATGATTTAAGGGAATCTAGAATTCTCTTTCACTATTTTACAAATTATTATGATAGCAACATTTAATTCTCTTACCTTTTCTTTGCATATCCTTTGATCTTTTGAATAGCCTATGTGTTTGCCCGTAATTCTCTTTTTTATTTATTAATGAAAACCTTGTATGATACCTTATATTCATTTTTTTAGTGATGAAATAAAATAATTAATAATTTTTAAAGTAAGCAATATGGAAATATTTTAGTAGAAAAATTATATAAATAGACATTCAATAAAGCTAAGCTTTAATTATTAAATGATTAGGTAATTAATTTTGTAAGTTTTCACAAATTTAGTAAATTATACATTCAATCTTTTTAAAGATTCATTCTACAAAAAAGTTTATAGGATTTGAAAATTTTTGAATTTATCTTAATAATCATAAAATCTTGATTTTTCAATGTCCCTTTCTTATCTTAACTTTAATACATAAAATATTTATTTATTCATAGTGTAAGACTTAATATAAAAGTAATAAAAATTCAATATTATTTTAAAAAAAAAGAAATGGAAATGATAGAAGATATTTATGTTTTCTCTTCATCAAAAGATTTTGAAGAATATACATAAAATTGTGAATAGTAAATTTTAAAAGTAAAGAATTATAAATTTATTAATTTAAATGAAAATAGATTTGAAGAATCCAATAATTGCATCGAGAATACTTTATTAAATTTAGGTGCAGATTAAATGTTTCTCTTGAAATGTAAGAAGGAGAAAATTAAAATCCGCGAATTGAATTAATTAAGACATAAGAGAAGTGTAAAATTAGTTTGCTTTTCACCTCTAAGAAATGTACTAGTTTTCTGGAAGTTTCATAAATTTTAATGATAAAATAAATTGTTATGATAATGTATAGTATTATAACAACAGTAAAGATGATTATTATAAAAGACAAAATTAAATATAAATATATTATATTGATTCATTTAGTAATCTTCTTCTTTGAATATTTAAAATGTAATTAAGGCATTATTATATTAGTAAATGGTTAAAAAATTTCATCATTAAATTCAAGATTAATACCTAAAATAATTTAATTAAAAATTATACAAAATTATTATGGTTTGATTTCTTTGCAAATCAAAAGTAAGTAATTTTAAATTTTTCTAGTATAATGATTTAATTTTGGAATATTGAATTTTCCTTGTATTTTCAATAGTTTCAGTTAATTTTTTATTGTCTAACCTTTAATTATGATTAATTTACTAGTTGAGCTATCAACTATGCAAGCTAATAATAAATAAAATATTTTTGGAATAGTATTAATGAAATAGTCTGATCCAACCAGTTGAATTTTAGAGTTTGGATTACAAAATGTTGAAATTTTTAACAAAGATTTTTGAAGACTGATAATTTTTTAAATCATTTATTAATTCCAAATCGATGTGATTATTTCTTATATTTACAACTTATTAGCTAAGCTATGGAATTAATTATAATCAAAAGGTATTTCTTTCTTTATTATTTTGATAAAAACAATTAACAATTTTAAATATAATTAACAAACTTTTTAGACTTCTTCTTTTTAGGGAAATTCATTTTATTATCTGGTATAAATTAGGACAGTTGGTTAATTTCCAAAAAATAAAGAAAAATTAACAGACATTAATTATTTATCAAACTTAATATTTATAGAATGATTTACAACTTCCAAATATTTTAATGAGAAATCTTTTAA